AATCAAACCGGTTCAACTGATCAACCCGGTATCTAACCACTTTGTCAGGTCTCATCCCGGACCGAGTTTTAAAACCTTACTACCAACAACAATAATAATAATGATGATGATGTTTGTTTTTTATGCAAAAGTCTTATGTCCAAGGGCGATATATCTTTAAGCTCTTTCCTCGAACTTTCGCACGTACTGTCTATAATCTTTATTCGTTGAACAGAATCCAAGTCCACTACAAATTAGTATCTCCTCTCTCTATCATCTCAACCTCTGGTCTCTTCAGTTCATAGTTGATACAAATGAATTCTATATCGGAACTTAGGCGGAGGCAGCACTCTGGAAACCCACACATCTTTCCCACAGAAAGATACTCTGACCAGCTGGTTGGAAGGAGAGGTGGACTTATCTCAGCCGCCGGGAAGTTAACTTCACCGTGGAAGAATGGTGTGACCCGGAAGTTAACAAAGCTATTGCTCAATGTTTATATAGAAAGAAGTTTGGGGCCTGTCCACGTGGTGACTTCGCCAGAGAATACAGTGAGTGATTTGATTAAGGCAGCCATTGATATTTACTTAAAGGAGAAGAGAAGGCCGCTGTTGAAGCACACCCATCCTCAGTTTTTCGCCCTTCATTACTCCCAGTTCTGTTTGGAGAGTAAGTTCTTTACTCTGTTTTGTGAACTTTTCCTGAAATCAAGTGTCTATAAACTGAGATTTATGGTGGTTCCAGGTTTAAAGGCAGATGAGAAGCTGAGTAATTTGGGGTCAAGAAATTTCTTTATGTGTTCAAAGCCTTATTCCAACTCTGTCAAATTATTTTGGTCGGAGCAAGCAAAAATGTCAATCAACTCATCATTTCCTTTGACAAAATTCATGGATTTCTTGCTGTAGCTAGAGTTTTAAGTTAGTGATCATCTTCAGACTCTTAATTTGTATATCCTGTATTGACTAAAACTCAATGTGAATTGCGATAAGGCGTAGTGCATGTAGGCTTTTAAATTATTTTTATAATTTTGAAATTAACACTTTAACCCGGTCCACACTTAATTTGATCAATTAGTTTGTTAGTAAATAATAACTATAGTAACTAACTAATAATGGGTTGACCGAGTGGTAAAAGTTTGGGGCAAGGGGTTTGCTTTTCCTGTGGTCTCAGATTTGAATCACAAGGACAGTTGTTAATACTATTGGCCATGGACTGTAGGGTTTACCTTATTTCGGAAGCCTTGTTTCAGGGTCGGAGAACTAGTCGAGACAATATCAAATCCAAAAATTTCTATTAGGGTGGGCAAAAATAAAAACTGATTGCATATAATATTCATATTTTGTTTTTTTAGTCGAAATTGTCACAAAAATAAAAAAAAATTTACATATTAATATTTTCTTTTTAAATTTCATGGCCCATCCTCAACATACTCTGGATCCACCCCTAAGTCGAGATGCACGTAAGTTGACCGTGGTTCTTCCAATTTTTTAACCACCACCTAAAACCCCAACAATAACTCTATCTTCAATAACTACGTAAACAAAACCCATTCCCTCACCACAAGCCAACTCCAAAATCACCATCAACCACCACAAAACTCATTGTCAACTAAATACGTATAATGACCCTAAAATCTATTACAAAACTCATATTCAATAATCACAAAACAAACCCATCTTCAACAACTCACCACCACAAGATTAGGTTGGTGGCAAAGGGAGGAGTTCGTGGTGGCCAAAGGAGGAGCTCATGGTGACCAAGTGAGCTCCTCTCATGGCAGGTCGAGGGAGAAAATGGAGTTAAAGTGGGGAAGAAGAAAGAAAGAAGAAAGGGGATAGAAAGAGAAGAGAAGAAGAGAAACAGGGAAAAAAAGAACAAGGACATTAGGATTAAAGGAATATAAAAATTGAAAAGACTATTGTAGGGGTGAGCGGTTTCGGGTACCCTATAATTTTTGGAGGAATCGGAACCTGAAATGCAGGTTCCAGTTCCTTACCTAGGTACCCTATAAAAAATAATTACCCCTATTAGTTTAAAAAATGACAAAAACACCTTAAAAGTTTACAAATGCACCCCGAACAAATTAAGAAAACCAGCATTTAGTAGTTTTTAACTTTTGATTACTCATTCATTTGTGTCCAATGTGACTCATAGATCCTCTATTGTCTAGGCAACACTTGAATTAAATTAAATATGTAATCATTTAATTAAGTAATGTACTAATCACTAATGCAGTAAATTACTAACGTTTGTAATGTAATATTATAATTAATTAAGTATCATACTATAAATCTATAATATAATGTTATAATTAATTAAATTTTTAATCGTTTAATTAAATAATATATAAAACTACTAATGTAGTAGATTACTAATGTTTATAATGTAATGTTATAAACTTATAATTAATTAATTAAGTAATCATTGAACTAGTAATTTATCTAAATCTTGTTTCATAAACAATATTTGAATCTGATTTCAGTTTTACAAAATATCCAGCCCGGAACTGGAGATATCCTCACTCGCAGATGCCATTACGTGTTGGATTAACGCTCACGATGCCTTGTGTCACGGGCTGAGAGTTTCATACCCAAAAAGCTAACCTATTACATGAAGGGACTCCCCTCATTTATAAGCCTAAGACCTCCCCAATACGCTTCCGATATGGGATTCGTTATATTCTCCCCCACGCAATCCTATGACGCCCTCGTCACAGGTGGGGCCCATGCCTACCCGTCTACCTCACTCTCGTGTGGACCCACAATCACATGTGGACGCCCCTGTATGGGCGCTTGACTGGACATCGAAAGACAGATCAGATCTGCTCTGATACCACTTGTCACGGGTTAGGAGTTTCACACCCACAAAACTAACCTATTAGGTGCAAATACTCCCCCTATTTATAAGTCCAAGACCTCCCCAATATGCTTCAGATGTGGAATTCGTTATACTTGTGAGAAATGACAGGCATCCTCCTTTTTCCACGTTTTTTTCTTTCCTTATTATGCCCATCATCGCTTAGCTCTTTCTCCATCATTAATCATTCTACAAATTGAAGTCATAATCTTGGGTTCTGATGTAGTCTTGGCATTTTTATCATAGTGCCGGTAAGGTTATTGAGGGAAGAAACTCTAGTGAAGATGTGTGTAGTAGCACCTGAATTATAATCAGATTATTCATTGCATAAAATTATAAACAATTTGTATGTAATTTTGAGTCAGCTATTCTTTGAGCTTAATGTGAAAATGATATGATGTATGACATATAATATTTTGCAACTAAATTGCATTGTTTTAAAACCCGACCATTAAGGGACCTGGTAAGGCCATCGGGTCTCGGGTTGACCAATCTGACCGGTTAAACCGGTGGTTTGATTGGTGATCCAAAAAGTTTAAAATCTTGTAAACACGCCCTTGAAAAATACAATTAGTCTCTCCAAGTTTGAAATCTAGCAAATACACCCTTACGAGCTATTTGGGTTTTGAATTTTCCATCCAAATTTCGGCTAATTCTGACAGCCAAAGTTCATTCCGACACTACCACCTAAACCATCGTCCTCCACTCTACAAAACCCCTCTAACTCGAAACTTGGTAGCCCCTCGTTTGCCTGTCATAACTTGTGTATACCGTCGTGATTGGGTTGATTTTTTCAGCCAAAATCCAGTTAAATCTAAACCACTAGCTTCCATTTTACAAAACCCCTCTAACCCCGACACTTAGTAGCCCCCCATTTGCCGACTGTGACACAGATATTAGGTTGAACTTTTTAGCCAAATTCCGGTTTATTCCAATGTCCAAAATTCAATTCGACACCATCTCTTGAACCATTGGTCTCCACTCTACAAAAGCCTTTTAACTCAGACATTTGATAGCCCCTCATTCACTAGCGATCAAATTAGGGATTTTATGAATAGTGAAAAATGGTAAACCAGATCGAAGAGGTTATTAGGTCTCGGTTGGATCGGCTCAACCGGCCGGTCTAATCAGAGTTTTAAAACAGTGCTAAATTGTCGGCTTCTTATAAAATGTTTCAAAGTACTTATCCAAATTTTATGATCGCTTTAACTATTCAGAGATCCAATGCTGTTTCACTACATTGGAAGGAGATTTGGATACTTAACCGCGTTTAACGGTGGAACCTTTTAAGACGCGGATCCAAACATGGAAAGCACACGGAATATCTTGCACGAGATCGTTTTCTTCGGTGTGAAGCAAAGGCAGGGCGTTAGATTAACGCTAACTGGTGATAGCCCGTGGCCTAAAATATTATCCATTTAGTACCTTATATTTTGCCTTATTACAACACACTATTAATCTTTTAAGGATGACATGAGATTATACTAATAGAAATACAATGAAAAACAGTTTACGTATAAGTTCAATTCTAACTTAATTATTAATTCAAATATCTTAAGTTTTGAATTATTAAATATATATACTCATATTTGAATTTATTTTAACATATAATTATGTTCGGAAATTCCTAATGAATGTAGAAAAGAAAATTGCAAATTTATTGAAGTTTGACCTATTTATTAGTAGATACAAATATTTCTAAAATAAAAAAAAAAATCATCTCTCATTAAAGAAAATAAAAAATAGGGTTAATCACAACCCCCTAAGGTTTTATTGATATTAATAAACCCGTTACTGTTATTTGAAGTTAACAAAACATGTTCCCTCTTAATGAGGTGACCCTTATAATTCTACTTACTCCAACGTTAATATTTTTAATTTTATTCAACATTTTGATTTAATATTTACTATTAATTAAAAATGTTAAAATTCATTTATATTTTTAATCTCTTTATGTTAAAATTTACGAGAAAATATTAACGGCTCAATAACAGTTGAGCTATTATCTAAACCTCAGAGGGTTTATGGATAGCATCTAAAATTCAGGGGTTGTTATTGGTTTAAAACACGGATGAGCAAACCACAATAAACCGGAAATAACCGGTGACAAAACCTTCTATAAATAACCCGCATGTCCATAACTGTTTCTGAAATGTTCTTCGGTCTAAAGCAAAAGCAAAAGCAAAGGCAAGATATTTTTATTTTGAAATTTTGGGAACAACATAGTACTTTGTTTTTCTCAAATTCAATCAATCATGGGTACCTCTCAAAGTCGCGAGGATTACATATCAGACTCTGATTATGAAGAAGAATCAGAATCAGGAGAATCATCTCAATACGACGACGCTCAAGAAACTAGCTCTTCTTCTTCATCTAGAGGTACGAAAGCAACCCTAAATTCTCTTGACGAAGTTGATTCCAGACTCAAATCGCTTAAACTGAAATACCCGACTCCCCTAAACCCTAATCTTAAAAACCCTGTTAAGCTTTATCTCCATATCGGTGGCAACACCCCTAAAGCCAAGTGGATCGTCTCTGATAAGCTTACTTCTTATAGTTTCATCAAGACCCTAAAAGTTGACGGCGGCAACGCCTCTGATGATGATGATGATGATGAGGGTGATGGTGGAGATGGGTTTTGGGTTTTGAAAGTTGGGTCCAAAGTTAGGGCTAAGGTTTCGACTGAAATTCAATTGAAAATGTTTGGAGATCAAAGGAGAGTTGATTTTGTTAACAAAGGTGTCTGGGCATTGAAGTTTTTTGGTGATTCGGAGTATAGGAAGTTTGTGACTGAGTTTCAAGACTGCTTGTTTGAGAATGTATATGGGCTTAAAGCCACCGAAGAGAACAAGATGAAAATTTATGGGAAGGAATTTCTTGGGTGGGTGATGCCTGAGGCTGCTGATGATTCGATGTGGGAGGATGCTGATGATGGTTCAGGGAAAACACCTGAATACGTGACACCTGTGAAGGGCAGTCGAGATACGTTGGAGGAGTTTGAGGAGTTAGCTAATGGAGGAGTGCAGAGTTTGACTTTAGGTGCATTGGATAACAGTTTCTTGGTTAACGATTTGGGTGTGCAGGTTTATAAAAATTTTAATCATGGAATTCATAACAAAGGTGTTAGTGTGAGATTTGATAGTGGAAGTTCTAGAACTGGTTCAAACTCGGCTACTAAGAAGGCTCTGTTAATGAGGGGGGAGACAAATATGATGTTAATGAGTCCATTGAAAGAAGGGAAACCTCATGCCTCAGCTATTAAACAACTTGATATAGAGACGGGGAAGATTGTGACTGAATGGAAGTTTGAGAAGGATGGGGCTGACATTACGATGAGAGATATTACTAATGATACAAAGAGTTCACAGTTGGATCCATCAGAGTCTACGTTTCTTGGGCTTGATGATAGTAGATTGTGTCAATGGGATATGAGAGACAGGGGCGGAATTGTGCGGGACATTGTGAAGGGTGATTCACCAGTGTTGCATTGGACTCAGGGGCATCAGTTTTCGAGGGGCACAAATTTTCAATGCTTTGCGAGTACGGGTGATGGATCAATTGTCGTTGGTTCACTTGATGGGAAGATAAGGTTGTACTCCAAAACATCGATGAGGCAGGCTAAGACTGCATTTCCAGGGCTTGGCTCGCCGATTACCCATGTGGATGTTACTTATGATGGGAAGTGGGTCTTGGGCACCACCGATACATATCTGATTCTTATTTGCACGCTGTATACGGATAAAGATGGAAGGACGAAAACTGGTTTTGGTGGGCGTATGGGAAACAAGATACCAGCTCCAAGATTGTTGAAGTTGACTCCTTTGGATTCACATCTGGCTGGGAATGATAATAAGTTTCATGGTGGACATTTCTCTTGGGTAAGTTTCTTCATTTCTTGGTTGCACTGTGCTTAATTGTTATATACTTAGTATTTTTGTTGTTGTGTCGTGTTTATTGTTATTTTAACTATACTTTTGGCATGCTTGGTAAATATTAGCTTCTATTAACGGTCTGCATCTCTTTTAAGGGTCTGGAATCAGAGCCTTCTGAGTGCCCCTTGTATTGCTGTTCAGTTTACTTAAACCTTCTAGATTTAAACAGAAGTAGCATCTATATAATATATTAAATAAATTGAATTATATGGTTGTTTTGTGTGCCTGTTCATTGTTATGGAATGATGCCTGACCATTCTAATATGAAAAATTTAATGCGGAAGTTCAATTCAGTTATAAACTTAAGAAGTATGGCTGTAATAATTAACTGACCAAATTGTTAATTGTTTTATATTGCCTGAATAGGAAAATACTAATATATTACTTGGTTACCTTTTCAAAGTTTGAAATGTATGTGTCCCTGGCATTTGGGGCAGCCAATACATTGTTATGTTTGTTGCATATTTATGAATTTCTGTTACTTTCTTTTGCTGAAATAATCCCTCTCTTTTCTATTAGTGCAATCCTGCATATCAGTAGGTTTCTTATTTTGTAGTGATTCTCATGGTTTGCTAATATAACAAACATTGTGATTATGTATCTAACGCTATGTCATTAAAATTTTGTTTGCTGAAACTCTCAGGTAACCATCAAATTGCTTCAATGTTGTATGGACACTTTAATGGATTTTTGTTGTCAACCATTCTTATATGATAACTGTTATCATCCTCATGCATGCTTCTTGTATAATTTGTTACCAGTTGAAGAACATTGAGAGTCTTGATCTGCTTATAGGTTGTCAATGGACTTTTTGTTTGGTTTTCTTCTGCGCTGTACTTGTTTTGTTTGTTGTCTCCATGATCCATGTCACAGTACACAACTGTAGGCTCTATACTTGTCTCACCATTATTGAATAATTTTGCCTTTCAGATCACTGAGAATGGTAAACAAGAACGCCACTTAGTTGCAACAGTGGGCAAATTCAGTGTGATATGGGATTTCCAGCAGGTGAAGAACAGTGCTCACGAATGCTACAGGAATCAGCAAGGTCTCAAGAGCTGTTATTGCTACAAGATTCTTTTGAAGGATGAATCAATCATAGAAAGTCGGTTCATGCATGACAAGTATGCTGTTACAGAGTCCCCAGAAGCACCGCTGGTGGTGGCAACACCTATGAAAGTTAGTTCTATAAGCCTTTCTGGCAAGGGCAAGCGATGACTTTGAGGAACCATTGTCATTATAACCGAGCATTTGTGTTTGTGTAGGAAGCAGGATTGCTTCTGCTGTTTCATTTGCTCCTACTTTATGAAGTATATTTAAATTTGTTCATCCTTCCTTAGAGTTGTTGGCTTTCTCTCTTCTGCTTGTATATTCCGTGAATTTTTTCATTCATCTTCTTGTAAACACAATTAAAACGCTTTTCTAGGTATATGAGTTTGGTTTGTTGCATTTTGAGCTTTATCGGAGATTCAGAGTGTTGTGAACCATTGCCAAAGTGAAAAAGTCTGATTGCTGTAACATTTGCCTCAGGATCAATACAGAGAGATTTCCAGTTTAAAATCATGATAATTAGCCCCATGAGATTTGTAAGTAATCATATTGTAACTGCATATTTCTCCCAAAACGGTAACAATAAGAATTGGCTTACAATTCAATCTCACGAATTCTCTCACAGTCTTGATGTGGTAGCTCACAATTGGTCAAGCGGAAAAATTCAACAAAAACCAATTGCGAACTGTCACACCAGGATTGTGAGAGAGTTTGAGAGATTAAGTTATAAATATAGTATTGTCTACAGGGTAATATTACACATACAAAATCAGGATCGTAATTTTGTCCTATCATAACAACATTCATTCTCAAAATGATAATAGTTACACGTACAAGGTTAGGAACTTAGGATCATAATTTTACGTTCGAACTCGTATGCTTCATCATCCTATAATTTAGAAGATGTTGTCCAATCAATTTTCACATAAACTAGAATAGAAAGTTAGAGTCCTAACTTTATATTTTGCACCTCTCCTCTTATGGTTGAATGATAAATCCTTTAACCACTAGGATTATCTATATTCAAGGGTTTTGTATTCGAGTACTAAGATAAGTACCTATCACAGTTATGCAATTAGCTTGGAAAGAAAGCATTAGATGAAAGGAAACCTGCTTTTGACGCGAAAGAAAGCCCAGCTAATGTAATGCAGCTAAAGCCCATTTGTTCAAGGGAATTTTTCAAAGAGAAAAGAACAGTGGCAACAAGAGAGACTCTTTCTAGTCCTACCCTTATTCCAAAAAGACTTGCACACGAGGGAATTTTTTTCATTCATCTTGTTGTAAACACGATTAAAACGCTTTACGGAGATTCAGAGTGTTGTGTTTCATTGCCAAAGTGAAAAGAATCTGATTGCTATAACATTTGCCTCAAGATCAGTAGAGAGAGATTTCCAGTTGAAAATCATGATAATTAGCCCCATGAGATTTGTAAGTAATCATATTGTAAAACTTCAGATGGTTAGAGCGAATTTGCTATAGTACAGATAGACGCACGGTCTCAGGTTTGATTCCCTATTTAAGCATTCAGGATTTAAATAGAAGGTTGTGGCAGTAGGCTACTATGCTAGTGTCCCTTTTTATAAAAATATATATATATATTGTAAAACTTCTTAAGTAATCATATTGTAACTTTATATTTCTTCGAAAAGTTAATGTTACACATACAAATTCAGGATCGTAATTTTGTCCTATCATAACAACATTTATTCCCAAAAAGATAATGTTACATGTACAAGGTTAGGATCATAATTTTGTGTTCCAACTCATATGCTTCATCATATCCCATAATTTAGAAGATGTCTTCCAATCAATTTTCACATAAACTAGAATAGAAAGTTAGGATCTTAACTTTATATTTTGCATCTCTCCTCTTGTGATCAGATGACAAACCTTTTAACCACTGGAGTTAACTATATTTAAGAGTCATGTGTTCGAGTATCAAGATAGGTACCTACCACATTTGTAGAATTACCTTGGAAGGAAAGTCGTCTTTTCACGTGAAAGAAAGCCCAGCTAAGGTAATGTAGCTAAGCCCATTCATTCAAGGGAACGGTTCAAAGAGAAAAGAATAGTGGCAACAAGAGAAGAGATTCTTTCTAGTCTTACCCTCGTTCCAAAAGACTTGCACATGAGTGAATTATTCTTCTTTATGTAGCGATAGAGGTGACTTCACTTTGAGGTGACTTCACTTTATGTTGATTTCTACCCCAAAGTCATTCGCTTCCTTAGTCTTAACCCCGTCATTCCTTCGTTTCCGCCTTTGTTTAGGCTTAGTTACGGCTAGTTTCGTTTGAATTCGAGTATCAAGATAGATACCTACCACATTTATATAATCTTTGTCCATTGAGTTTGTATGTGTTCGGATACCTCATATACCAAAAAAAAAAAAAATTATATTTTGCATTTTTATTCCAACAAAAGAATAATGCTAGATTTATAATCCAATCTCATAACATTATCTTATAATCCTCAACGTGGTAACTCGTCATTTGTTAGTTTTCGTAATAAGTCTCGTCTGTTTGTATAGGTCCTGTTACCTATTTGCGAGTTGACTAATGAAAAGTTATCCCATTGGAGGTTGTGTATGAAAGATTGTGAGATTTAGCTGTATAAAGAACATTTCTGCCAACAAAAACACCCACAGAGAATTGAGCAAATGGGATTCTGAATCGTAGAATGAGTTGTCTCCTTAAGATGGAGCACAGTACAACAGATACATAAGTATAGGACTATTGTAACAATGATTTCTCAGTAGAAGATAGTAGCTGGCAGACAGGCAGGCAGGCAGGCAGGCAGCCATCCAATACATAATCCTAAGTGGCTGTCATAAAATTTATGACTTGACACCAACAAACAAGAAATGTTGTTTACAAAATTCTTTTATTAAATGAAGTTGTGTGAGTGTGTTATTACCCCATGGTCCTCATCATGCAGTCAATATTTCAATAATGCTAGGGACACTGAATTTTTACACTAAAATTTTTTACTGGATGATGGACATTCAGTCAGACATGGACACATTGGACAGAAAATTTATCTTCCCAGAATAGACGGTCGTCCAACAATCACGGACAATCGTTCATCATAGATGGACGAGCGTCTACAAAAATATCAACGGACCCTGTCCATATTATATGAACGAGCGTCTATTTACTATAGATAGATGTCTATATAAGATGGACGTCCGTCCAAAAAATTTTAAAACCAAAATGAGTGACACCCGTCCATCTAATACGGACGGGTATCCATATACAATAGACGGTCGTCCATAGTAAATGGACTTTTGAAAGAGTTTGAAGGAGTCTATTTGGAATACTATCATTTTAATACTATCATGCATGCAACTATTAATTAATAATTCTTTAAAGTATTACTTTTGTTATCGGAATTTCCAAATTCCAAAATCAGTAATTTGGAGGAAGTTTCACATGAACTTTATGGGGCTTCACAAAGAGATTGGTAAACAACCCCAATGCCTACGAAAATTGAACTTTTGAAATAGTTTTTTTTATTAAACTCGAATAACAAAGGACGATCGTCCATTGCATATGGACTACCGTCCATTATATATGGACGCTCGTCCCTATTAGATGGATGGGCTTCAATCATTTTATTTTTAAAATTTTTTAAACGGGCGTCCATCTTATATGGACGTCTATTCATATAATATGAACGGAAGTCCATTAATATTTTTGTGGATGTTTATCCATTTGTGATAAACGGTCGTCTATAAAGTATGGACGATCGTTCGTGATTATTAAATGGTTGTTTATTCATAGGAGATGTATTTTCTGTCCAATATGTCTACGTTTGACTAGATGTCACGTCATTCGATAAAAAATTTTGATGTACAAGTTCGGTGTCCATAACATTATTGGTCAATATTTTGATGTCTTTGGTGCAACGTCATGTTCATGCATTCTTTTACTTTTTTCTTTTTATTATTACTTTTGAGGATTTTAATAATAAAATTATCTTATCATCTCAACTATTAACTGTTAACCACCACCATCACCACCAAGTTTCACGTTCCCTTTTTTAATTTTTAATTAGCTGTCACTTTTCAATCTTAATTATCTAATTATTTTACTTGGTTACACTTGTAATTGGATAAGGATTATGGATATCCCCTCGTGCTTTACTGTTTTTTGTTCTAGAAAAACTGTTCTCAAATATTTATTACCAAATTATCATATATGGTCAGACGGTAAGACTTTAGTCATATAGGTTGGCTATTTAGAAGTTTGTGTTATCTGACTCAGTAGGTTTGTAGGATGTTCAATTAACTCTTGGATTGGTTGAGATGAGTGCAAGCTGACTCAGACACCCCAATTATAAAAAAAAAGAAAAATCATATATTAACCACTAGTCTTGTGACCAGACGACAAGACTTTAACTATCTGGATGGATTCCAAAGATCTTATATTACTTGATTCATTGAGTTTGTAAGGTGTTAAATAGACCTCGAGATTAGTTGAGGTACGCACAAAATGACTCGAATACCCAGGTTATCAAGAAAAAAAAAAGTATCATATATTAAAAAAATGAAATTCTATTTTTTTTATTAAATAATCTCTTAAATATGATTTTACACATGATATATGTAGTGACAAACCCTAAGAATATCTTTAGTATCATCAAAAACTTTTACAAATACCCAAATGAGCAAAATCAAAGCAGAAATGGGAATTTGAAAGATTTTTCTTCTTTCGATTTCTAACTTTTCCAATTTTGGAATCCGACAGCTAAATCTAAGTATTAAGTATGAAATATGAATCATAGTTCGAGTACTTTCGTGATCTATTTCATGTATTTTGTACTCCAGATACTAGAATAAATGTTCAACATGGTAAAACCATCTCTATAGGATGACATACCCATTCTCTTTACTATCAATTGGATCCATTATAACAAGTCACACACTCATATTTCGGAAATACAAAAACAAAAAAATTGTGCGGTCGAACTACGAAGTTGAACTAAAATTAAAAAATATATATATATCAAAATGGGGTACCTAAGTGCTTTCTTATTCCATTCTAATCAACAAAAAAGCCTTACCTAGTACGAGAAAAGGCTTATAGTCACATGTGGGTTTTCTAGAGATGAGCTTAGTTGATGTCTTGATCTGATTAATAATTAACGTTAGTTTTGTTATTAAGAAATTAAGCACGTGTTAATTGCCACTAGCATTAATTATTAATCCCACGCGCTTCTTCTCTCGTTGAGGCATAAAGCCAAAAGTCCTCTTGTCTTTCTTGAACCCACTTCAAAAGCTCATACTCCTTCCG